TTACTTTGTTTCGTACAGTTTTCGATAGAGCGATTTGATTGGATAATTGTGAAGTTAACTAGGCCTGAAAATAAAGCAAGTGCGCAGTACAGTAATGTCTCTCTAATTGACGAACAGATTGCGTATAAAAGTGGACAATATGGGAAGAAGAGGTACGATTATTCGAGCCTCGCGGCTCGATTTTATAATTGTGGACAATTTATAACTATAAAAATAAACTATAGAAAGACTCGAATTTTTTATTTGTTACGAACGGTTAGTTTTCGACCGGTAGCTTTTCGAAATCAATTCAGGTTTAACATTCATGTCTGAACGATGGAAGAACGATAGAGTCACCGCGGGCTGACCAGTCGCGGCTGCGAGGTTGGTTTGTTTTCCGGCGCGATTAGCTTCGCATTCGCGGAGTAAAATGTGGTCTGGTTTTGTATTACTTTGTTTCGTACAGTTTTCGATAGAGCGATTTGATTGGATAATTGTGAAGTTAACTAGGCCTGAAAATAAAGCAAGTGCGCAGTACAGTAATGTCTCTCTAATTGACGCCCAGATTGTCCACTAAATTGGATAATTTGGGAAGAGGAGATACGATTAGAAATTACTGTAACTAAAAAAGCCTTGGAAAATTTGTATTTTGTATAAAGATCCTTCCTGGACGGTACGCTTTTAAAAAGCAAAGCGTGATCGAATTAGTTTACGCAAATACAGTGAATTCTCCCTAATTAGCGCTCAGTTTGTAAACAAAAATGGATAATTTAGGAAGACGAGATACGATTACAGTAATTTCTCCCTAATTCGCGCTCAGATTGCGTACAAAAATGAGCTGCAAGACTCGAATAATCGTACCTCCTCCTCCAAATTGTCCATTTTTTGCGCAATCCGGGCGCGAATTAGGGAAAAATTACCATATTCGAGCCTTGCGACTCGTTTTCATAGTTATTGACAATCGGCAATTATCGAGCCGCGTGGCTCGAATAATCGTATCACCTCTTCCCATATCGTCCAATTTAGTGGACAATCTGAGTAAGGGAGACATTACTGTATTTTGTTATCTGAAAATAATCGGTTCTTCTTATGCTAGCCTGCTACTTCACGTTCACGCTAAACGATAAACAACGAATTCGTGTGAATTTGCTTCTTCTAAATGGAGTGACGAGACTTTCAGCGTGCATCAATCGCAAGAAACAGAAATCGCTCGAGTTTATCGAGTTTAACGATATACAGTAATGTCTCCCTAACTGACGCTCAGATCGTGGAGAAAAATGGACAATTCGAGAAGAGGAGATACGATCAATTTGAGTCTTGCGCCTTGTTTTTATAATTACCGATTCTCAAGAACTTATAAAAACGAGGCGCAAGACTTCGAATAATCTTATTTCTTCTTTCCAAATTGTCCATTTTTCTGCACAATCTGATCGTCGGTTAGGGAGACATTACTGTATATCGTTAAACTCTTCTCGATAGTCATGATGCAAAAGCATGCCAGATTGTTAAAGATCAAGAAACTACGGAATGTAATGATCAACGACACTGTAAGCATTCGTTTGTTTGCAAGCAAATGAGAAACGGAACGCTGCGTTGCAACGGTACGTCCGGCTTCGATATATTCCGCGAATTGTACGGATCCGATAGAACTTTTCAGCGAGCAGCTCGGGCCAATTAAGGGATGGAAACAAAATGGCCGTGTTGCCGATCCTCTCGAGAGTAATAAAAAAACTTTCGGCGGTAGCGCCGCGCGAGGAGGAGTTTCGAGTGCGCCGACTTATAATTGAAACGGCAAAATGCTTCGCATATTAAAAATCTGTACAGCGTCTAACGAGAATCCGGTAAGATCCTGTCATTTCGGTTGAAATTGTAGGAGAAGCGACGCTGTTGAACGTGTCACGAACGAAAATATCTTTTACACAGGAGGATTACGAATGCGAAAAAATATTTCTCTTCGAGTTTTAATGAAAATTTGCAGTTAGCTAAATTGCGCGAACTTCGCTAATTAACGGGTTGCGTGACGCACCGAGGGAAAATGCAAAATGTTTCCGACATTGATCCGTTTCGCCGTAGAACGCCCGATACAATAATCCTTGTGATGGCGATGCGAACGTGGCCGGTGCAATTCGAGAAAAAAGAGAAGAAGAAAAAAGGAAAAAGAAACGCAGCGTCGTCTTTCATTCGCTAAGCCTGCTTCCTGCCTTCGCCGAGCCTTTCTCTCCTTCCTCGCCGAGTTTTCTTGCTAACAATTCACCGGAGCGCTCGTGCATTTTTAGCCAAAGAAAAGTGTTACGTTCCAAATTGAGCACTTCAGAAGCACAAGAATTCAAATCTCCGACTTCTATTCTTCAAATCTAATTGGATGGCGCTTGCTTATGCACGTTCTACTAAACCAATTCGAATTTAGAAAATCTAAAATTAAAAATTTTTAACTCGCAAAATCTGAGGTGAACAACATTTTTGGAACGGTTTGTCGACGGACTTTAGGAACGTTATACTTTACGTCTAATCAAATTTCTTTTATAATCCTGATAGAAACCGGGAGAGGAGCGACTCTAAATAGTAAGATGTCAGTGTAGAACGAAACTTTGAAATTAGATGCTTCGTTTTCGAGACGATCGAGTCGAAAGATTCGTCTAACTCGTGGTCCTAATATCGGCTAGAAGTTGAATCGGTCGGTCATGAACAGACGCGCCAATTAATCAATTTTTAACAAATTTCTACAAATCAAATTTCTTTTAACGCTATAATCCTAATAGAAACCGGGAGAGGAGCGATTCTTCGCTGACAATAAATAGTAAGATGTCAGTGTAGAACGAAACTTTGAGATTAAACGCTTAGTTTTCGAGACGATCGAGTCGAAAGATTCGTCCAATTCGTGATCCTAGTATCGGCTAGAAGTTGAATCGGTCGGTCATGAACAGACGCGCCAGCCGATTTCGTTTCAATGGCGCAGGTATTCGCCTAATTTAACTCGAAAACGATGACTGATACTCGCGACTTCCTTTCTCAGCTAGAATCGTCCCCTCTACCTGTGTATTATACATGGAAATACATCCTTTCATTGCACAATTTTATAGAAAAATAATTACAAGCCTGTACTGCAGATCTTTACACAAAATAAAAATACATCGATCGTAAAAATTAAACAGACAAGTTCAACGAATCCTTTTAATCACTTTATTGTTTGATATTTCATCTATTTATTTTTGTCACAAATGCATAAAATTCGCGAACTATAATAACCCGACGAATAAAACCTACGAATAAATTCGTTCGAGACATTTCCAGACATTGTCGATTGATTTAAAACGCGTGTCTGTCCAGTCGTATTGCGGCGACCTAAACAAATGCTAATCAAATGAAGCCATGCCAGACGAAGAAGTTATCAGTCACGGTTCGTTCATCGAAGACAGCACGTATCATTTAGATGGTTTCAGTGATGATTTTTTTCCAAGATCGAATGCAAACAGCAGCGTCACAAACGTGCTCTTTATTCGGCACCGTGTACGTACACCGATTTATAATAGCGCTTTAATTTCGATATTAGGCAATGCTCTGTTAATTCTTGTTGCAACGCTTTCAAAGCGTAAAAGAATGCGAGACCGTCCCATTTGCATAGCGCATTGGTCGCGCGAAATTCGTCGGCAAGAAGTGATCTCTACGATATCAATGCGACGTAACGTTTAAACGTCGAAATCTCAAAACCGTCTTTGTAAAAAGCGGCGAATACGAAATGACAGCGAAAGAAATCTTTCTTGCATTTTCACGAAACCCGTACGAATCCGCGGTCTGGTAATAATATTCGCGATACTGTTATTCCGAAGCGTCTGCAACAGGAAATCTTCGAACTCGCGCGAAACGGTTCTTTGGCAGTGAATTACAATAAAATACGCGACGCGAAAAATCTACATTTTTGCCAAAGGCATGGAAATTCGACTGTCAGTTCCACAGGCCTCAAAGAATCCACGAAATCGAAACGATTTATTCGACGCTGGCTTCACGGAGCATCGAAAGCAGCTGTTTCGTATTCATTTGCAAAAGCAATAACGAGACATTTATCTCGATTTTTAACTAGCATTATTATATCGATATCTACCGCGAGTAACAGATATATCGAATAAATAACGATCGGAGCACCGAAAACAGCTGTTTCGTATTCATTTGCAAAAGCAACAACGAGACATTTATCTCGATTTTTACCTAGCGTTATTATATCGATATGTACCGCGAGTAACAGATATATCGAATAAATAAAGATCGGAGCACCGAAAACAGCTGTGTCGTATTCATTTGCAAAAGCAACAACGAGACATTTATCTCGATTTTTACCTAGCGTTATTATATCGATATGTACCGCGAGTAACAGATATATCGAATAAATAAAGATCGGAGCACCGAAAACAGCTGTGTCGTATTCATTTGCAAAAGCAACAACGAGACATTTATCTCGATTTTTACCTAGCGTTATTATATCGATATGTACCGCGAGTAACAGATATATCGAATAAATAAAGATCGGAGCACCGAAAACAGCTGTGTCGTATCCATTTGCAAAAGCAACAACGAGACATTTATCTCGATTTTTAACTAGCATTATTCTATCGATATCTACCGCGAGCAACAGATATATCGAATAAATAACGATCCGAACAATCGTAAATTAAAAAACTAGCGTAAATCCAGCGTCGACGAAATAAACATTGGAAAAGTTGAAAAGCGTTTCGCAGATTCCATCTGGTCGAAGAATTTGCTCGTAGATCCGAACGAATAACTTCGTCGTCCGTGTGCGGGTGGCATAGCGAAAGAACGTGCGAATTACGGAGACGATTTGGAACGTAACAAGAAGAGACAAGAAGAAGAAGAAAAAGAAGAAAGAAGAAGAAGAAGAAAATCGAATCCATCGTGTTCGCAGCGAGCGGATCGATATCAGCGAGGGGGAACGGTGTTGAGGGAACGTTTCGCTAATCGAACAAAAACATCTAATTTGAGATGCCCATAAATCTTAAATATAACCCTACCGGAAGATCTCGATCGTTTCCTATTCGTACCTGTGCCCGTGATTGGTGGCGACGCCAGCTGCGAGCTGCTTATATCCGGCGGTTGTTGGATCTGTTGCGTTTGTTGCGGCGCTTGTTGTTGCGGCTGTTGCGATTGTTGCTGTTGCTGGGGACTGTTCGCGGCGACTTGCACGGTGCCCGGACTCGCCGCGCTTTCCGCCATTTTTCGAGCTATGCTTTCCCTCTCAGTTCAAACACGATCCAACAACATGTTCGCCGCACGGGACTCGGCCAACGGAAGCCCGATATTCCGGTATCGCTCTCTCGAACTTGAACAGAGAGAGCCCGGTCGAGGCTGAGCGGGGAGGGCGAGGATCGACGATCGGACAGATCGGATCGGTCCTCCTGTTTCTTTCGTTTCCGTTGCACGACAGTGTCTCTTCACCGTTAACCGGGACACCGGGTTTTCCTCCCGGTGCTCCTTTCTTCCCGCGAGAGATCCTCGCTCGTTTCTCTCTCCCGAGAGCGAACGGTTCCCGATCGCTCCGTGTCGCCCGGCACCGCCGTTTCGTACGCACAAGTCTCTGTTTGTTTACCGCGGCTCCACGATCAGGCTATCGTCGTCGACGACCCGTAGTACCGACACGTCACGGGTTCACAGGTGGCGGATTCCTGGACGCTCGTCACGCGATCCTCTTTCGCGTTGCCAAAGGGCATCACCGCGTAGTCGGGCTGCGATCCGGATGCCATCTCTTCCGCGGCCGAGATTAAAGATGCACCGCCGAGAGAGAGAGAGAGAGAGAGAGAGAGAGAGAGAGACCGAGCTGGCCGATCGATCGCGCCGTCGACCCGGTAAAAGTTCGACGCTTCGATTACGCCTGGCGGAATTACGCGACGACGACGACGATCTCGCCTTCCGCGTCGGGTTCGACGGCTTTCGGTGCCGGATCCTCGACGAAGGCGGCTCGCGAACGTCTCCGAGCTGCTCTCTGTCGCACTGTCTTCGATCCGCGATCGCGTGGATCGCCGGTAACGACACCGAGGTGATAGGGAAAGCAGGTTTCACCTTGGAGCGGGTACAAAGATCCCGAAAGGAAGGTAGAAAAGAAACTGAGAAAGTCCCTCCTGTGTCCCTGATCACTTGTCTCCGTTCCCTTTCGACGCCGAAAGGGAACCAGCGAATAATAGCCGCGTTGAACGAGGGGACGCTCGCGACGGTTCCTAAAACCGTCCGATCAGTCGAGAGGCGATAAATAATCTGAGGCACTGTTTACCGACTGGTTTTACGCGTCGAGGCTCGTTCGCGGATAGTAGTAATAGTCGTTCGGGAGACAGTCGTCCGCCAGCCAAGAAAATAGACGATCATTCGTGCGTGGCCGACCGCGTTATGAATAATCAGTCGAGAAGGCATAAAATTTTAGGCACTCTTCGTCGCATTGTCTCGATACCCTACCAATATTTGACGATCTACGGCGAGCCGCCAAAGAGAATCAGAGCGAGGAAGATCGGAAAAGATCAAGAGAGAGAGAGAGAGAGAGAGAGAGAGAGAAAGAGAGAGAAGAAGGAAGAGAGGAAGAGAGGAAGAGAGGAAGAGAAAGAGATAGAAAAGAAGAACCGAGGTAGGTGAAGAGAGACGAAAACAAGGGAAGATACCCTGCGCACCGGGGTGGTTATACGCTACGAGAAAGCACAGCTAGAAAAAAGAGACTCTTCGATGATCGGGGGGCGTAGAGATCGTCGAAGTCCTGAATTGAGAAGATCCTTAGGCACTCGTTTGTCTCGTGAATGTGCGCGCGGTGCGTCGTCGGGCGGGCACCCCCAGGAGCGTTACCCTTTCCGCGAGGGGGTGTACGAAACGGTGGCACCGCGGTACGTCCCGACGTGATGACGCGGCGACGACACGCCAGCACACGCAGGGGAGAAAGGCAGAAAGAGCAGTGAGGGTGGCCAGCGAGCGGAAAGACGCCGGGGGTAGGAGCGCGGAGCGGCCGAGTCGATAGGTCAGTGGGTCTCGTTCAAAGAACGACTCTCTTCGATTCACCCGAGCCTCCCCGTTCGTACGCGCAGCTACGCCGCGCGCGCGACCCAACGCTCGGCAGCGGACGCAAACACCGACGCGCACAAACAAGAAGAAGCGAGAAAGAGGAACGCTTCCTCGAACGGTCGCTGTCCTACGACGCGTCGATCTATCCCCGGCTCTCGCTTAGGTTTACGCGCGGATTAAAGGGCGAACGTAGGCCACGAAAAAAAAGAAACGGGAGAACAAGGCGGCGACCGGTGGCGGCGGAGGCGGCGGAGGCGGCGGGACGCGGGACGGCGGGAGGAGGAGGGAGGAGGAGGAGGAGGAGGAGGGAGAGAGTCGAGTAGTCGATAGGTCAGTAGGTCTCGTTCAGAGAACCGTATTTCGAGGGAGTTACATCCAGTCCGCACTCTCGGTTTCAATGCTACCCCCTCGTTAATCCGGACGCATCGATTCGCCAGACGTTCGGCCGGATCTCGCGGTGAACGACGACGGAAAACACTTGCCGCGGGACGGGCTCCCGCGTTTACGGTGGTTGTCGTAGGTTGTTCCGGCGATGGCTGTTGTGCTGGTCGAGCTGCTGCGATAGCTGGGGCTGGTGGTATCGGCGCGGCTGATCTCACGGGAAGAGGCACACGCGTTCATTCGCGACCTTCGTCGCGACTAATTCGGTAGCTGCGGCCTTCGGTCGATATTCCGTGAACAAACGGTTCAACGTGGCGGGGCTGTTCGAGTCTCCTGTTCTATCACATTTCGCCCCCCCGTTCGTCCTCTGTCTCACTCTGTCTTCACCGTGTCACTCGGTTTACATCCTACGAGAGAGAGGGAGAAAGGGAGAAGGAGAGAGAGAGATAGAGAGCGAGAGAGAGAGAGAGAGAGAGAGAGAGAAAGAGCGACAGCTACATCTGCCAGGTGTAGTCCAGATCTTGGGCACGATAACACGGGGAAACAGTCTCTCTGGCAGGGTCCGGGAGCGGTTCAATCATCGATCAAACAGCTCGCGAGTTCGAGGCGATCGCGAGCGGATTTGTTACGGGGCATCGTCGCAGGTCGCGGCGACGGTGCTTCCGCGACATCGATCATCGTCCAGTCTCTTCGGGATCAAGGTTCCACACACGGGCTGTGATTTTCGCGTGACCCGGGCTCAGGGGACCGAGCTGCTCTCTGGACCAGTCACGGGCACACCGGAGAACGACGACGTTTCCTCGGCCATGGATCGTGCGGGGCCCGCGCGCGTCCCGTAGTCGGGTCACCAGTCGAATCCACTTGGCCTCGTGGGCTTTACGTCATTATCGTCTCCGTCATCCTGGCACGGCGATGCGTGGCCGTTGTTCGTTATTCTCGCTTCCGGAAGAAAACACACCGGGACAACACGGGAACTATCACCTTGCGGGGAACACGACTCGCGTACGGGGCACGCGTGTCGATCGCGACGCGTCACGGGTCCGCTCGGTCCCTCGAAAAAGCTCGTGCCGATGACGTTTCGGAGCCGAACGACTCGTTTCGGCTATGCACTTCACGGGGAAGCAGTGGCTCGAGCCTGCCGCGACCGCCACCAGATGGCAGCCTCTGTCGAACCACCACCGTTCGCCACCACCCCGCCCGGATTACAGCTTCTCGCACCCCGGCGCGCCCCGCCGCGCCCCTTTCCCGCGCATCACCCTTCGAACGATCCCGGTCGCCTGCTCGGCAGAGTATCTTCCAGAGAGGTGAATTTCTCGGCGATCGGATCCGCGATGGAAATTACGCGAAATGTACATCGGAATGTTCGACCCCCTGAGGGCAGCGCGAGAGACCGTTCCATTGGTTCGACGCGGTTCAGGGGTAGCGCGCGCACGCGCCCAACCACCGACCGCTCTGCCCGCTATTCGTTCGATCCGTTAGCAGCCTGTATTCCTCGGCCAGATAGACTGTTCCGTCTCCAAAGCGATAACTCTCCTATCTCGCATCCCCTATCTCTCTGCTGGCCCGGCAACGGCGGACACACGCGATTCCCACATCCGGTCGATCGACTCGATCTTTCGTCGGCGGCACGACGATCGCGAGGACGAACGGGGGACACCGCGCGCGGTAACGGGGTCACCAGGTGTCGAAAGGGGCGAGCTTTGTCGGTCAACCCGAGCAGTCGCGTCCCTTTAAGGTGAGCTTCGATCTACTATAACGCATTCGTTCTACCTCGGCGCGTGTTCCCGTTCGACTACGATTCGACCGCTGTTTTGTTATCGGTACACGACGCGCGACACGCGGCCATTTGAATAACAGTGGCACCTTCTGGACCGGCCGCTAATGGAAAGTTCGCTTCGCCGAGGCTGATACCAGGCCTGTGGACTTGACCTATCCGCAACCAGGCCGCTCGCTCGAAAACGCGGCGAACGCTGGAAAATTAGATGCCTTCGTCGGCCGGCGATTATTCGCACGTGAAACGCTGCGCAAGTTTCATCCTCTCTCTCTCTCTCTCTCTCTTTTTTCGCTCTCTGTCTCTCTCTCTCTGTCTCTCTCGCTGCCATTGAATTTATCGCTACCGTTATACCCCTTTCGACTGGATCTCTGCCTCCCGCCGCTTCACTCCGTTTGAGTTAAAGCGCCGCTCCGCGCCGTGTATACGCGAGCCGAGAGACTACAACCGAACACTCTCCTCGCTCTCTTCGGCTCGATACGAGCCGTTGCATTTTCAGAACGGTACTCCTAACTGTATCTTACATACGTATAGAGCTGCACGCGCGTGTACGTACGCCTGTGCGGCTCCGTGCTCACCTGTCGGCGTCGCGCGGCGAGGCACCCGCGCATACCGATCAGAAAACAAGGGAAAACGACGATGCGTCGATGACCCCAGATCGCCGGATTCGATTCCGCGGATCGGAATTCTCGATTCGAGCGCGATACGTTTCAACGCAATCGACGCGCTTCCTCTCGTCACCTATATTTCGGCGAGACGGTGTCCTTTCGACGGACTTCGACGTCGATACTTGGGAATATCAACAACAACGTCGATTATCATTTCCAATGCGCGAGTAGATAATCCTTGGAGGATGAAGGTCGGCCCAGTGGCGGCGTCAGGGTCGTACATCTCGGTTCAGAAGTTGCGAATATATATAGCTTATTCTACCCGATTGTCTTTCAGCTTGTAAACGAAAATGGACCGCAGTAATTTCTCCTTAATTTGCGGTTAGTTTGTGCACATAAATGGACATTTTCGGAAGATTTTGGATTTTGGAATATTTTTATAGTTATTGAGAATCGGTAATTATAAAAGCGAGTCGCAAGGCTGCTCGAATAATAGTGTCTTTTCTTTCCAAATTGTCCATTTTTTGCACAATCTGAGCGCGAATTAGAGAGCATTTATTGGATTTGGGAAGGGGAAATGCAATTATGCGAGCTATGCGTCTCGTTTTTATAGTTGTTGAGAATCGGTAACTATAAAAGCGAGTCGCAAGGCTCGAATAATTGTGTCTTCTCTTCCCAAATTATCCATTTTTTGCACAATCTGAGCGCGAATTAGAGAGCATTTATTGGATTTGGGAAGGGGAAATACGATTATGCGAGCTTTGCGCCTCGTTTTTATAGTTGTTGACAATCCGCAACTATAAAAACAAGTCACGAAGCTTGAATAATAGCATCTTCTCTTCCCAAGATCTCCATTTTTGTTTGCAAATCGAAAAACAATTGGGACGAATTCACTCTATTGAGTTGCTGCAAAAATAATTCCGGTCTTTTTCTGCAAACAAATCTGTTCGGAAAGCCGACATTACTTTTGCAACAACGCGATAATTATGCACATATCAAAGAATCAGGATCTGTTGCTCGTGTTTTGCATTATTTGATCCTCCGATGCGTATCTAGTTCGGCCAGGAAAAATATTCTTAGCACTTTCGAGAATACACGTCCGCGATGCTTTAATGTCGCGAATCGCAACTTCTCGGATTTCGTTTAAACTCTCGCGAACCGTTCGACGAACGCAGGCGTTTGTATTTTGAGAATGATATTGGGTCACGTCACGTCACCGGGGCTTGACGTCCGAGACAGATCTTGTTTTTAACCGATCGTAATTTATGCAGACAATTTATGCAGTTCGATTGGTTTATGTATCGGTGCAGTTAAATGCAACGGTTCGCGTTCGGCTCGAGCCGAACGGTGTTACGAGATTATACGCGTCGCGTTTATTTAATCTGCGCGGTTGCGCGATGGTTTTAGACGTTTTTAAATATTTTTAGGCGAGATCGAAATAGGCGTCGCAGGATCGAAGCGTACACTCCAATTTGCCGGGCGACGAAAATAACGCGAAACGTGTAGAAAATAACGTTACATTCTATCTATATAAATTCATGGAGCAGCGTCGAAGGAAACACAACGAATCGGGGACACACTTGCATTTCGATTCACCTTCTGCTTTCCATTTGCGGGTCAGTTAGCGTCCTTTTAATGTCGAACTGTAAATACTTTCGAGAATTCGCACAGCTCTGCGAGATAGCAACGATTATCGTCGCTTATAATCGTTGATGCTTAATTATTGCCGTGAAGGATTCGACGAAGTGTTTCATAAATTGATTTAGATATCTGAGTCTGCTTTCCTATTCTTCATTGAAACTTTTTAACCCTTTTGTAACAGAATTCTACATCCAGGAACTTGCTAATTAAAAGAACTTAACAATTCCGTTGTATCGTTCGTAATTTGTTCAAATTAGCGAAAACAGGAATATTCTTGTGATCGATGGAGAAGCTTTGATTTTGCATAAAGGTTTGCAATTTATGTTTTAAAGATTGTTTGTATGTTATTCAGTGTCAAGCAGAGTTGGACGTTATTCGAATTGTTTCGAGTAAACATTTATCTAAGGCAGTTATCCGAATAAATTCCTTCCAGTCGAATATTTTATTCGAATGATTCCTTATTCCAATAATTTTCTATTCGATCACTTCGAAAACATAATACGGAAAAAATACTGTAATATAATAAACTATTCACAACTATAATATACACAACTATATATAGATATACAACTATATATACAACTATATACAACTATAATATAATAAACTGTTCAGAAACAACACTTCATATTCCATGATTTTTATTCGAAACAATTGTCTCCCTTATAAATTCCTGTACGAATAAATTCTTATTCTCATTAAATTTAATTCAGACAAATTTCTATCCAGATAAATTTATACCCAATTGAATATTTATTCGACGATTCCCAATAAAATTGTGTTCTCGCCATCTTTTATCCGTCACCTGAAAAAAATCTTACCCAACTCTAATATCCAGCCACGACCCTATATACATATAATATAATATAATATATAATTTCTCCCTATATACACATACACGGTGTCCCAAAATTACCAACAATATTCCCAAAACAATTCAACAAAACACGAGTCCACGAAGCTTTCGTTTCCAGACGACGCCGTCCGACCATAATTACCGAAGCCATCGAGGTTATATTTCGGCGTCCCGCGACGCCGCGAACCGTGCCATCGAAACGAGGCGTAGGTAGGTACGTGTCAGGATAAACCCGCATCGTAACTTCCGCGGCATGTAAAAGCCGCGTCGAATATAACAGCGAACTTTTTGACAGGACTTTCGAAACGCTCCGTATGAATCACCGGAGGTAAGAAAAGAGCGGCCGGGGGCAAGAAACTGTTAGTCATCGTCCGATGATCTCGGAGCGAGAGACGCGGCGAATCGAGTCGACTCGACTCGACTCGACTCGACTCGGGTTCGAGTCGAGTCAGCATCATCGTGAAGGTACAAACGTTGCATGCAATTAAGGAACAATCGAGGTATACATTGAAATAACGATCGGAAGATTAAAGGAGAGACTGTTCGGACCGTTAATCGTTTTTTAGGATGCCGCTTCAATGAGCCGCGCCGAGGCGAGCCAGGAATCAAAGATAGCGTACGCGATTGGCGAGAGCGAGCCGGGTGGGAAGAGAAAGAAAGGCGGCGGGAAAGAGCGAGGAGTGGGGAGGGAAGAGAAAAGAGAGGCTCGGCTGGTACGAACAACGTGTAGCGGATCTTCTACGCAGGTACGTAACTACGTACATGCGGGTCGCGTGTAGGGATACTCACGTAATGTAGGCCCGTTGCCGGAGGTACCGTAAGACCTTGCTGTTACGTCACTAGAAGCCGCGCGATTAGGAGAAAAAGGATACCGGCGAAAGGGAGGGAAGGAAACGGAGGAACCGCGTCCTCCGGCCGCCGGCAACGCCGGCTCCCGATTCACGGAATTTCGTCGCCCGTGACCCGAAAAAATATGCCCGCCGTGCTGTTTCTCTTCTTCGCTCGCGCCGAATCTATCGCGGTCCTCTCTCTCTCTCTCTCTCTCTCTCTCTCTCTCTCTCTCTATCGTACCCCCTCTATCGCGAACCTTGAAATTTCCTCCGTATTATCTCCGGACTCGATTCTTCGACTGTAATTCAGACTTGCAATTCGCAGACTTGAAATTGCGATCCTGACTTGCAATTTGCATTTCTCTTCCATCTATCGTGTTACCGTTGGAATTCGGAGCAACATTTCAGCGTTGCAACATCTCGCGCACCGAAAAATTTCTTTGCAGCAAACTTTGCAACTTCGCGGCGCGTTCTACTTCGGTCACGTGGTACGTTTTTCGATCGAAAGGATTTTCGAGTTTTGTCGATAGTTTTATTCGTTGCAAAAGGATTCACGGAATAATCAATGTTAATTAATTATATTGTTAGTTATAATTATTAGTAGTTAATTATTAGTTATAATTTCGCGGTGCGTTCTACTTCGATCACGTGGTACGTTTTTCGATCGAAAGGATTTTCGAGTTTTATCGATAGTTTTATTCGTTGCAAAAGGATTATCAATGTTAATTAATTATATTATTAGTTATAATTATTAGTAGTTAATTATTAGTTATAATTAATCAAGGAATAATTAACGTCTCGCGGGTGAGTATGCAACCTTTAATTTAATCTTGCGCATCGATTATTCTTATTACTGTTGACGACGTTCGAAAGCAATTTGGTCCAATAAAAATTTGCAGTCAAGCAATTCCGTTATTCTCGTAAGAAATTACACAGTGTATTATTTATAACAATAGCAATACTAGTGAGTGCTAAATGGAGGACAAGACTAAATACGCATTTAAACCATTCACCATTTTTATCGTAATGTACACTTGGACGAATTTCAACAACTTCATCTTAGCACAGTAAGTTTAGTGTTAATTAAACAGTATTCCTGATTCAGGCAATAAAGCGTGTCGTTTCTGTAACGCCTTAGATCTGTGATTTAACTTGAGAACCGAATTCGGATAGCAGAGAGTTTACAAATCGAAAATTCTCATAATCAAGGTTATGTAACTTTTACAATCGAGCAGATTATAATCGCAGTGGCGTAGGTCGCATTTTCCTTATTGTCAGAAGCAAGCAGTGCTATTTGAGCCGTTTATTTTGAAAGTGGCACAAGTCACTTTGTTTTTAAGTCGATATATTTAAGGGTTTGCGTTTGAACACGTTTAAAAATATGGATGCTAACTTTCGAGAAGATTTACTTGTATTTGTTATCTCGGGATACTGATATATTTTTCTCAGTATAAATAATTTCGTACATATATTAAAAAATCGTCACTTTTCATCACGGTAAAGTGACTTCAGCCACTTTCAAAATAAGCGGCTCATTTTTTTACCAACACGTATATCGTTTATTAAGACCAAATCGATGATTAAAATAATTTATTGTCCAGTCAATTTATAATAACTTCATAATTTATTTCACTTGTCTTTCGAACATTTTGCCACGTACAGATTGCATTTCAAGACAATTAAATTAAATATACAAAATCGATCAAATTAATAAAATAAATTAAATTAAGTAAATTAAAAACATTAAGACAATAACAATTATCGCAAATGTGACACCCGCCACTGCGATTCTAGCCCACTCAAACGATTTGTCACATTGGAACGAACGTTTCCAAAAGCGAAATTCCCGCGTAACTCGGTAAATCCCGTTCGCTTCGAAGGAAACGCGATCGGCAGACGACGCCACGGTGACACGTACACGCCAGGAATTTCGTAAGATGCCGACGCCGATTTCGTCACGTATACAATGACTGCCGGGGCTTCAGGTGAAATCATCAGCCCTTCCAGGCTGCCCCCACCACCCTCTCTTTCCTTCCCTTCCACGGGGAATCGGCGTCGCCGACACGGTCCGCGTCCACGTGTTTCTATCTGCGGTCAGTGCACCTTGCTGCACGAACCGCGGCCATTTACCGAAGGTCCACGTAACGCGACCGTGCTTAATAATCTTTTCTCCCAAGGATCGTCGACCTTGCCGGCCAGAGATATAGAGGAAACGATGCCCGCAGCCAGTATGGGAGATCGAGCGCCAGATGCCCGAGGACTTAACCCTCCACTAAATTTTTCCCGGGCTTCCAGACTTCCTGCGGCGTCATTAATCGTATTGTCTGTCCTTCGAAGACGAATGGCTTCCTTGAGTCTATCGTGATCCACGATTCCACCCTTCGTTAACATTTTTATGAATTATATTTTCTTCCCTGCGATTACCTTGCCGAGGTGAACACTTGGTTGGGTTTCGTGACTTTTCGCGCGCAAAAATGGCGCACGATACTGGCGAACGACGACGTTGAGTTTCGACGTTCGGTTATTTATTAATGAGATCTTTTATTAGCGATAAGATGCACATGTTTTTAGTAAATAAAATTAAATAAAAATTAGATTAAGTTGTACAATAAAATAAAATAAAATTAGATTAAGTTAAACGAAAGTTAAATTAAATTAGATCCAATTAAATTAGATTAAATGAAATCAAATTTTAAGTTAAATAAAATCAAATTGAGTTAAATTAAATCAAATTGAGTTAATTTAAATCGAATTAAATAAATAAAATTAAATTGAGTTAAATTAAATCAAATTAAGTTCAATTAAATTAAATTGAGTTTGGCTAAATTAGATTAGATTAAATTAAAACGAGTTTGGCTAAATTAGATTAGATTAAATTAAATTGAGTTTGGCTAAATTAGATAAGATTAAATTAAATTAAGTTAAATGATATGAAATTAAGTTAAATGAAATTAAGTTGAATTAAGTTGAATTCAGTTAAATTAAGTTAAATTAAGTCAAATTAAGTTAAAGTAAGTAAAATTAAGTTAGATTAAGTCCAATTAAGAATAATTAAGTTAGATTAAGTTCAATTAAGTAAAATTAAGTAAAATTAAGTAAGATTAAGTAAAATTAAGTAAAATTAAGTAAAATTAAGTAAAACTAAGGAAAATTAAGTAAAATTAAGTAAAATCGAATGAAGTTAAATTAAATTAAATTAACACTTAGTGTTCCTGTTTGCAATGTTCTGTTATCCGTGTTATCCTAAGTTCGACGTTGCATCAGCCAGTGCAAGGAAAACCTTGAAGCGATCATTCGCTCGTTGTTTGTTAGCTTCGAATTTAATCTCGAAACGTAACACGAGACCGAAGCTATCTCGAATATTTCGAAAGAACGGTGTTCATTTTACCGGACGGTAGATTTATTTTCCGGCGGCGTTATTGCGTCGTCTCTGAAAATGCTTATGCACAAGCCACGCAGGTTGATTCACTCGGAACAATGAAACTTGAGACAGGAGGATGAACGCGGGCACGGATTCTTCATCTCCAGTTTGATACCGCGGCACAGTGTAAATGCACCGCGAGCCTTCGCGTGTCAATGACACGTGCTAATGGACGGTTTAGCTGAGTTGACAACGCGGAAGTGAAAAATGCAAATGCAGGCACGATGAACTTGTGCCTTTTTTTCCCCCTCGGCGTGTTTAAAAGGAAAGTCACCCTTGGCGGGAAAATAACGTCGCGACTTCCGATGTTTCGAAGTGGTCAGAAATTCGACGATGGGGACGATTTTAACGACTCGTTGAAATAGCCTCGAGCGCGAAACGTTGACATTCACATAAATTGGAGTCATCTTCGGTGTCACGATGACAGTTCGATGAATTAAGATAACTGAAAGATCATACACTATATTGTAGATAATTCTGTAAAAAGTGACGCATCATTAAGGTTCGAAGTCTAAAATTGCTATACCACGTTTTAAAATATTGTTCACAGTATAAAATTTGTTCGCATTTAAAAAAGAAACTGTTAAAAATGCAGTATAATGCAATAACAATTATAACCTGCAATAAACCATGTAAAATAAAAATACTGTTCATCGGTAAATATGTTTCGAATTTCGAATTAAAATAGCTTCGGCAGCAAAGGATTAATGTTCGCATAAATTGGAGCCATCTTAGGTGTCACGAATCGATGACAGTTCGATGAATTGAGATAACTAAAAGATCATATATTATATTGTAGATAATTTTGTAAAAAGTGACGCATCATTAAGATTCGAAGTCTAAAATTACTATACCACGTTCCAAAATATTGTTCACAGTATAAAATTTGTTCGCATTTTAAAAAAAACTGTTAAAAGTGCAGTATAATGCAATAACAATTATAACCTGCAACAAACCATGTAAAATAAAAATACTGTTTATCTCTAAATATCTTTCGAATTTCGAATTAAAATAGCTTCGACTGCAAAGGATTGATATTCGCATAAATTGGAGCCATCATCAATGTCACGAATTGATGACAGTTCGATGAATTCAGATAATTGGAAGATCATATACTCTATTGTAGATAATTCTGTAAAAAGTGACACATCATAAAGGTTCGAAGTCTAAAATTGCTGTACCACGTTCCAAAACATTGTTCACAGTATAAAATTTGCTCGTATTTAAAAAAAACTACTAAAAATGCAGTATAATGCAACAGCAATAATAACCTACAATAAACCATATAAAATAAAATGTCGCTAAACATGTCTCGAATTTCGAATGAAAACCGCATAAACCGTAGCCATCATCGGTGTCGCAACAGGCCGCATTGCTCGAAGAAAGTCCGAGCAGCTCGAAAATACATTCCCGATTCATGGAAGCCGGCGAGGTGTCGCCCGTAGCCTCTTAACCCAGTGCTTTTCACACCTTTTCCACTCCCATTGTTGCGTGCCCTACTGCGAGTACGAGAAGTCGAGCATGGCGACCAGCCACGCCTCTATCCGCAGGTAAGACAGAAATCCTCGCGGTCTGAAGACGAACGAACGATCGTGCGATAGTTAAAAGTAGAGGAGACGGTGTTAGTGGCCCTAGGAAAGCAAGAAGAAGAAGAAGACGAAGAAGAAGAAGAAGAAGAGGAAGGTTCACGGCCGGGTGGTTGGTTTAAATCGGGCGGGCAAGGTGGCTCGACGGCGAAGAGACACCGCCGCGGCCACGTGGTGGCTCGGAGGTCAACGGCCTGCGGCCTTGTTTTGCCGAGGTGAATCGGCTCCGGGAACCGGGTACCTGTTCAAAAGTACCCGCTGCTTTCGGCGGTCTTTGAATATTATATGGGGGCTTCCCTTCCACGAGGCCGCCCAAAGTGGCCGTGTGTTCCGTGAGCTGTTGATTTTCCTCGTTACACGTCTCCCCCCTCCGCGCCGCTCGCGCCAAAAGCGTTTCCGAGCTCCCACGAGTCTTCCTGTTTGACCGCGAGGCAGGATGTTGGCTCACCGATATCGTCGATGCCTCCTAATCTCGGGCCCATCGATTTGTCGACTGCGCCAACGTTTGGTTACCTTTTGTTTCTAGGAACGTTTCGAAGGAAGGATCGGGGACTCGCGAGATCGGCTCGCTCGCTCGCTCGCCGGACGATTATTCCGTTCGAATGCGCGTATATGCACGGCGATCGTCGCGAGTCCCGAAGCGTTGTCACCCCGATATTCCGGTTAAGCAGCATACTCTTGCTTTCGTGGCGAAGATTCCAACTGTTAACCACCGAATTCCTAACCAATTACGGTCACCATTACCGTCGGCCGGTGTCCCCGGGACGACGCGCATAGAAAACCCGACGTGACTGTAAATTTTTTACGAGCGTGAGATAGAGGAAGGCAACGGGCTGCTCGCTGGAAGTTTCGGCCGAGCCGAGTCGAGCCGCGAGGACGAACAACCTGAACGAGCGAACGAGCGAGCGAGCGAGCGAGCGAGCAAGCGAACGAACGAACGAGCGAACGAGCGTGTAGCACCTGCGGTCGACGACCCTTGCGGTGCTATCGAATACCTGCCGACACGACGATCCGCTCGTTTACTCGCTCGCGATCGCCTCGCTCTTTTGGTGGGCCATCGAAAACCTCGCCTGAGAATTTGCCGCACGGGGCCGGCGGGGCCCGCTGAAAAATTCGCCGTTCGAAAGATCCTAGACACGTATTTTGGGGTTTAAGTGGACGTCCGAATAAAAGTGTTCGCGCGTCTGGGAGACGGTATTCGGTGAAACGAATTGGACATCTGTTCGACACAGCGCCGCGGACATGTATTGGCGCAGTTTTTGGTATTTAATAACTTTTTTGAGATTGGACCGAGTGACTTCAATTTCTGTAGCTTGACACTGTGTTAACAGATTTGGATTTAATTTTCAGCATGCATATAGGTTACCGGGATCTACGAAACGCATTTTTTGAATTTTCGAAATTTTTAAAAAATATCTTTCTTAAATTTTTTTTATCATTTTTTTTTATTCATTTCGTTTGGTTCAATTTGAAAAGAGTTATTCAGTTTTGAAAGATTTTAAAATTTAAAAGTGCTAATACTTTTTCATTAAATTCGTCGTATATATATACTTGACAGGAAAGATATTATTAATGATTAAGGAGAACGATCAAATTGTCATTTATAAAAAATATATTAATGCAAAAATGAATATGCTTTTTCTTCTAAAATTATGAAATAATAAAATCTGCTTCTGATTCTAGAAAGAGTTCAACTATCATCGTATAGTAAAAAGGTTTATAATTCAAAGTACGAAAAAGCGTTCTAATTTGTTGTCATGCTAAGTAACTTTGTTGACAGGAATCATTAACAAATTGACTCTATTTCTCAGAATCTTTTGACGATTTGTCAGTGTTTCTTAATTCCTGAATCTGCGAACATGTTATTAATAGACTGAGGATTTCTATGCAAAATAAAAATGATCTGCTTCGATACATGAAACAGTATACATATTGTAGTTTCTTTCTTTAATTCTCTTGATAAGTTGCAAATAATATATTGACATTTTCAGTTTCTTTAATATTTAATTTTCAATTTCTTATTTTTTTTAATCTCTCAAATTGTCTCAAATCGTCAATTGTCTTTAGCAAGAATGCATAAAATCCAGAATCCAGTTATTCGATGACAAGATTTGAAAAAAATAACATTAGAAGACGCGTTAAGTGCGACTTTCTAAAATACTGTAAAAAAGAATTACGGAAAGTCTGTGCAGCACGATCGACAAGAATTGAACCGTTAACAATTGATTTAAATAAAAAAGAAAAAAAAAGTAGCACTCGGTGCACGCGCCTAATACGTGATCGATATTCAATATTCTTTGTAACGTCTTTATAATGGGTCGTCCGAGAGGACTAGGTATTCGAAGCTTTCCACAGGAATTATCGACTGTTTGCGGTCGCGGTTAAAAGTGTTCCGAGGGATCGTGAACGTAAACGTGTAAGCAGATCCGGTGAAATCGGATTTGTTCTCGATTACGCGCATTACCCATTTAATACGCAATTACGTTCCATCAATGGCGGATTAGAAACCATTGCACAATAACATCCCGGGTACACGGTGTACAAATTTTTCCTGTTCAATCTTTCAGTTTATAACGCGGTCTAATGTGACAGCTTGAACCTTGAACTTTACAGCCTACGTATAGAAAACAAA